ACAAATGAGTGATTGACAGTGTTACAATAGCAAATATCAATGATCAATTGTAAGGAAATGCAATCAATCAAGAAGATCAACTCTTCCTTTCTGTGATTATGTGCTTGGTTGATGGCATTGATTCTGTGATGTGTTTGTTTATTCTGTTTCTGAGAACCAGATTGAAATGTTGCTCATAAATCCTGGTTAAATGGTTGGAAAATAGATCAAGGGGGGTATTGAGGGGGTAAAATCCGAATGTTAGAAAAAACCTACATTAAAAAGCAGAAGTGTGAATAGAGCAACACTTTTTTCTGGGAGAGTTCAACCTCAATAGGGTCCTTGGAATTTCTGAGGTGCAATAAGGAAAGGCAACTGATTGTCAAGATCATTTCACGTAAATAAATTGATTGGTGTTCAATAAGAGGAGTGACTAATTTGGGCTAGGCAAAATTGTGTGTGTTCTACAAGTGATTGGAGGTTAAAGTTAAGTAAACGATACAAAAATTCTCATGCAGACATGATGTTTACCTGGTGGGGTGTTCCTCTTATTATGCCAAAGCTTGCCTTCCTGGTGATTCATATTTAATATAAGCTGCTGGTGTCTGCTGTGACTTGTACCATTGATGTGTGAAGCTTTACTGGGAGTGTTGTTTTGAATTTCCCACAATGATTCCCAAAGGCCCAATGCTTATACCATTGTGCCTCTCAGCCAGAAAATGGTATAAGGCGCAACGCCCAGGGCCCTGCGGGCCCTGGGCGTAGTACTAGGTCAATGCCCTTTTTTCCGCTATTTCAGATGGGCTGGCAGAATTGTGAGCTATGGCAAACAATTATCTACAACTTCCTCTTGTTTTGGCCACCAATTCCATTGTGCAATTGGTGCCTGCTCACCCAGTAAGCCCAATTAGGTACTCTGACCTCCTTTGAAAAGTTATTCACCACTAGGTCAATAGCTTTTTTGGGGCATCCTTTGAACGCATTGCTTTATTTTTGCTTTTCCTTATTGAGATAGGCAGATACTCTACAAATTATATGCTCTTGTTAGCCCCTTTCTCACAAATCAATTTCAACCTGGAGGAATCAGTTATTCAGGTAGAATCTAAGTCCATTGCCTACTTTATCTTACTGACTCATTTGTGATTTTTATGGCTTAAACTTTTAATTGGTTGCTTGTCATATCATGGAGAATTAATATTTCTGTATTGGTACAGCTTAATTTTCTACCTGGTTGCAGTTCATATCATGGAAATTTAAAATTGAATAGTCTGAATACATCAACACATCATGCAAAATAACAATTACACAGTCTAGATACATCAACCAGCCACATTTTTGTATTATTTTTCTACCTGGGCTGGATCGAAGTCTACCTCAGGAAATAATTCTCAAAAAATCAGGCAAAGGCCCAATGACCAATGGTCTACCTGGTCTGCCTCTTCCCTATACCAGGTAGACAGGTAGACATCATTGGGCGCCCATACGTCTGATGAAAACACTAGATGAAGAATTGACACGGATGAATTCATACATTTTGATCAAAAGGGAAGTGAATCACAGGACAATAATAACCACAAATGCTAATGAAGGATAAGAGACAATTGATTAATGGAACCCAGTAAAAAAAGGCACAAGACAGCTCAATGATGGGCCTCTGGCTTTGAACTATCTTGGCACCTAGTGAACAAACCAATCTTCTGTTTGGGATTCATAGGTTACAAGTTAAACAAAATCATGATTAAATAATGAAATGGTAGCTTTACATGTGAAGCAGCTTTCTAACCAGGGTATTAAGGTCTCTGCAGTATTTGGTTTCACAAGTACTGTTTGTACTTTTATGTGGTTTGTGCAAGTGATAATTATCTAAAAAAGTAAACTGAAAAAAATTCAGCAGATTTTGGAATCAACAGACAAGGGATTGACACATGCATAGATTCATACACTTTGATGAGAAAGAAAGCCGAGACAGCTGATTAAGGAGATCAAATATTAAAAATAAAGAATTAGAAATATTAAGGAACACACCCCAGGTGGAAGAAGGCATGAT